CGGAGGACCCCCCCCCGCCCCACGAAAAGCTCGGGACCCTTATGGCTGCTTGAGAGAGCCCCCTCCCCAGTCCTCAACGCTATTCCTCCCCCGTTCCCCTTCTTTGTTTCCCCCCCCACCCCTCCTTCCTTTTTTTATTTTGCTCGTCAAGCGATCACACGCGGCCGCGGGTCCGACTTGAGTTGAGCTGCGAAGAGCCGTGGTGCACTCAAGGCAGGCGGCCATGGATAGCCCCATCCGATGGAAAGTTAAACGGAGGTTAAGGGAGGCGCTGCTCTCCCTGCTTGTCCTCGGGCTGCTTTTGGTCACATCGCCGGCCAGCGCAGGTAGGCTGCCAAACGCGCTCGGGGAAAACGAGCCCGCCGCCGTCGGGTGGCTTTCGAGGCGCTATCGAAAGGGCAAAGTTGAGCCCGTTCCGTTTCCCGGGCGTTCGCGAGCCGCTTTGCGGGCTTCAAAACCTGCACGGATGCCACTTCGAGTCCCTTTTTTTTTTTTTTTGGCGCTGCAGGTAGATTGCAAAAGCTGGGACGGTGGGGGTGGCGATCAAGGAAATCATCGTTACCGGCGTACGGGGACAAAGGTCAAAACCGTTCAAACCTTCTCCGGGTTGTGTAAAAAGAAGCGCGGTGCAGCTTAAAAAAGGGAGAAGGTCACCAGCGTCTTCAAAAAGTTGCTCCTAGTGCTCCTTACGACTTCCGAGTGGGACCTCGACACATGCGACATCCCCCTTTTTTTTTTTGTTTTTTTTTGCCTCTCAGCGAGGAACTTTTGCAGGTTCTGGGGAGTCTTTGGGTTTTTTTTTTTTCGTGATCGCAAGGGCAGTGGAGAATTGAGTATCTCTCCAGATCGGATCTTTTTTTTTCTTTTTTTCTTTTAGCCAGCATACAATCTGCGCAGTCTAAGCTGCGTCTCACCCTGACACGGGGAAAGCTTTGGCATGTCAGCGTTAGTAATGCCAGGAGAAGTGTCAAGAAGAAGTTGCCAAGATAAGAAATGTGAAGACAATGCGAGTGTAGTGGTTCGCTTTGCTGATTTTGCTGCAAGCGCGCAAGAGGTGCCGATCGCTTCACTTCAAGCGGGGCGCTGGTGGTGTCGCGAGTCACATATCCGATTTGACCAAAATGGCGACAACTGTCAAAATCCGATCCCATCCAACGACAAACTTTGTCATTGAAGTGGGGCGTCGTCAAGCCTCAAGAAGGAGGCGTTTGCGCCTTCCTGGAAACTTCTAACTGGTATCGACGATGAGTGCCGAGACATTTGGAGCGTCGCGGTTCACACGGCCGAATGTGCCGCAAATGCCAAAGAGGCTGGCGGCCAGCCGGGTAAAGTGATCACATGCATGTATTGACGTCACTTCAAGCGGGCCTTTGGTCGTTTGGTCGCGTAGTGCTTCGCGCAGCCGACCTTCCTGACATTTGCCATTGCAATGGTGAGCGAGGATCAACGACTGTCGCGTGAGATGTCACTGAAAACGGGGCATAACAGAGGTGGAGAATGTCTCGTGAAGTAGGCCGTCGGGAGTGTCGCGGGTCACGTCGCTTGTCTCGATATAAGTTTGGAAAATGACAGAAAACGCGTCGTTCCTCGTGCTACGGTTGGCGTCAGTCAAAAGTCACGATTCACTTTGCCATATTGTCCAATGGGCTGCGACGGATGCAACGGGTGGCTCATGGACGTCTGACTTCGGGAGCTCGGGCGGGCCGCACGGCCCTTTTTCCCGAAACGCTGAGAGTTGCTGAGTGGACAAGCGTGTGAGAAGGTCACTGGCCTCAGGTGGGGCCTTGGCTACGCAATGGTTCACCGACTGAACAACTGAGAAACGTGAAGGGATGGCTCGTTGCGCCGCTTCGGGCCTTAGGCTGCGTAGCGGTTTACGTGTGGTTGAATTTTCCGCCGCCGACCAAAATGCTTTGGTGAGGAATCTGCAAGGCTCGGCGGAGTAAGGGGCATTCAATTCATGCACGTAGCGATGTCCCTTTGAGCAAGATGCTGGTGGCGTAGTGTTTCGCATGCTTCACCCACACTTGGCTCGCGGACAGGCGAGCGGTCAGCCGGGATAGGCGCAAACTGGAATGGCGTCTCCAAGCCATTTGTCGTGTGGGGTCAAGCGGGGGTCTGGCCCGCATGTATTATTAGCATGCGGCTCACCACTCTTGGTGGTCCAACAGGTGAAGCCTTGCCGTGTCCACTCCGATTGTTTTCACTGGCACGTAAGCGCAGACGCGTCGACTGATCAGAAAATGGATGCTGGCCTATTTAGCAACATTATTTGTGCTAAATAAAACCCCCGAGCCAGATGACATGTTCTGAAAGGGCTAAGTGTTGGCACATTGCTACAAAAGCTTTACCTGGCGTCCAGTTTTAGGCTAAGCGGCTAGCATGCTAACATCGCACTGTTTGTTGCAGTTGAAGCAAAATAGTTATTTATTTCTTTTTGCTTGACCAAAACAACGCTTAGCTTCCTCAGCTCATCGCTCACTTTTACTGCACTTTGCTGTCGTTAACACGAACGGATATCAAGCCTCCAGTTTTAGGGTTAGCAGCTAGCATGCTGATATCGCTACCGTCCATTCCAATGGAAGAAAAATATCGTTCTTTTTGCGATCGTACAACTAAACCCTCTTAGCAGGGCTAAGCGTCACCTGTATTTCTCCTCCGTGTTGTTTTAGTTCGCGTGAAAGGCAATCTAGCCGACAGTGTGAGGATGAGCAGCCAGCATGCTAACGCCTCTGTTGTCAGATCAAACTGTGAAGCATCGTGTCATCATTCTTCTGCCAACCCGCTAATGCTGCCTTTGTTAATTCCATGTTTCGTGTGCTAGCGGAGCTAATCATGTATTCTGGCCCCACTTTGCTATCGTTAGCGTCGGTGACCAATTTAGCACTCAGCAAACGTTCACGAATGTGGCGAACAAGTTTACGAGGCCTTCGTTGTCACCCAGGCACGACGAGAGCGAAAAAGACAAGCCATTTCCGAAAGAAAACATTTGCGCCCTAAACAATGAAACCAATTGACAGTCGCATCTTTGCTGAGCTAATGGTTAGCATGTGAACATCATTTCGGGTGAGCAGTTAACCTCCTAATGCTGCTGCTGTTTGCTCCATTGGAATTTTTATTATAATTTTCTTTTTATACTGTTTGACAAAATCAACTGGCAGCAGAGCTAAGCGTTAAGTGTAAAATGTACTGTAATAATATTCTCGGAATAGTGCGTCCCTGCGAAAATAAGGACGGATTTGGGCCAAAGCTGGCGGCGGTGGCGACACGGGGCGGTGTAAGAACATCCGTCCAAGATCCATCAATACCTTATTTTGTTTCATCCGAAGAAAGAGAGAGAAAAAAATTTGACATCAGAAAAGCTGGCCGCCACATCTGGATTTGATACGCTTGCACTCCGTCGTCGGCTAAAGCCTCGGAAAAGCCAGGAAAAATGTCTTCCAGATGTTTTCTTCCCGATTCTCGGAGGGAAAAAAAAATTGCAACCCCCCCCCCCTCCCCGCCACCCAACTGAAAAGAAAATACACCATTCTTGCGGAGGCTTTTTTTTTTCTTCCTCCGAGAAACTTCCAAATGGAATAACATCTGCAGCCTCTCAGCTGAATTTTCTCGAAAAAAGAAAAAAAAAAAGACTGCACGTCCACGATCAAGGTCATCAAAAGATGCTGTTTTTTTTCATTCCGGCAGCCATCACATGTGTTTCTTAGTGAAGAATTTAAAAACATTGGTGCTGTCTTTTTTTTCTTCTTCCCTCCAGGCACTTTCAAGTTGTTTAAAAGCGATTGACTCTGGACAGATTTAACGAGTTGCCTTGCTGTTGACTTCCCGACGAGGCTAATGATAACTCGGCATGTTTTTGGTGAAAGCGACGGGCAATGGGCGGCATTAGCCGTTATGTCTGCAGCCAACTAAAAAGATTCACGCAGGACTTGCTTTTTTCGAAAAACAAACCCATTAACACGTGTAGGGAGAGTCGCGCTAATCGATTATTCCGCCAAGCTAATCGTTAAAAATTCCATGTGGAATCGATCAATAAAATGATCTGCTTGGAAGCAGCACAGGCAAAAATCTCTTTCCTCACGAAGGCCTTCACACTCCGTTTTTAACCACCAGTGTGTTTTGGGGAGCGAAAAACTGAAAACAAGTTTTGGTCGCTCGGTTGAATTTTTGGGAAATGGAAGGAAGCTTTTCAAAGCGATCACATCTTCCTCGCGCTGCCAAATTGATCCGAACGAATTATCTTGACGTAGGATCGTCGTGCGGTTGTTGTTTGCTCGCTCGTAGAATTTGCTCACAAATGTCAAATGAGTTCAAGAAAATGACGTGGAAAAGTGAGTTTTGTTTGTTTTGGCTGATCGTTGTTTTCGTGATTGTTTCAGGGAGAGGCAGAGGAGTTGATGTCTTGAGTGGCCGCTTGTTTCAAATTCCCTTGATTGCGAAAAGAAACGGATTTTTAGATCTTTTTTACCAATGACATGGTGATGGCGAACAATCCTTGGTTTTCACTGTGGAGAAGGCTCACTGGGTGTGAGCCTGTTTTCCTTGTGTGTGTATCTATCTGTCGATCTATCCATATATACACACGGGAATCCCCACTATTGAGTGAAAAAAAGTAATTGACCGTTTAGAGACGTCCCCTGATTAGAGATTAAAAAAAAATAGCTTAGAGTGAAAGGTGAAGTGTATCACTATGACCTCATCTAACGAGGTTCTTCTTAAAAAGTAGAGGCGGCTTATGGATGACTTGAATTGGACCCCCGCCCCCCCCAAAAAAGAAGACATGGGCTGTGCGGCGTACACTCTCCGCAACTCCCAGTGACAACCCAGCCTCACCTTAGCTCCTCCCCGAAATATGAAGGTCACGTCGATCACTTCCCTGCAAACTTTCCGACTTTGACAAGGCTTTAGCAGCACCTTTCCGAATTCTTCCGCACTTCTGCGGTCGAGTCGGACCAGGGCAAGCAAAGTTTTCGCAGCATCTGGGTAAGGAATCCATGCTCGCGAGCCGTTGCAAAGACGCTCTTGTACCCCGCTAGCTACACGTGAGCCAAAGCAAAATATGCGGGACGGTAGGTGGCAACCAGCGCCCTGGGATCCAAGTGCGCGGCGCACAAACGCTTCATTCTCCACCACATCCTGCCCTGTGTAGCCCGCCGATTAGAACCCGTCGTAATTAAGGCCGATTGTTTGAAAGTGCTGAATGGCGCTCTGTGTGTAAAAAAAAAAATAGGGCCCCCCCGCCCCGATCGGGCCGAGATGCGCCGTAGGGAACGCAAAAGCGCCGTGGTCTCGGTTTCGGGTTACACTTTGACGGGGACAGGAATGT